TTATGTTATTTGAGAAATTAACGTCTAGAAATATTGGCTTTGTTGCTGCCCTCACTGACAACCATCAAAACACTTTTGTTGTCAAAAGCTGATCACCATCCAATAAACCATTATACTGGCTTTGACAACTGTTTTTCAGACCAGACGGGCGCCCCGAATGGTTTAAAAACAACAAGAAAAGCGTTTTCGGGCTGTTTTCGTGAATATTTTAGGTATTTGACGGCTGTAGCTTTACAGTAATTCTGTTGTTTATATTTTAAAGGATACAGTTTCACCACGTCGGTGTCCATTCGTCTTTTGCCCGGACTTGGAGACGACATCTTTATACACTCCTCTTTCAGATGACCGAAGTTCAAATCTTCTGCGACTGATTCCCGATCCCTTGGCCTCTACCGAAACTGTATATTTTTGCACATTGGCACACGGCAAGATGTCGTTTCGAGAGTTATTTTTCGCCCTCCACTTTCTGTCCGCAGCGGATAGCACTGGTAGTCCTCTGCCCGCACAGCTCTCTCTCTCTTACATCTATCTATCTATCCCTCCGCCTATGACGTCATGTCTGCGCGACGAAAGGTGTACCCCTCATTCCTCTTTCGATGCGGTGTTTCGGGCTGTCATAAAGAGTGGACGATTCAAATTTGTAGTACATCTGTAAAATTGTAGTTTTTTTTAGTCCGCGATGGCAGTTGGCCCCCTTTGTTATAATAACTCTTGTTTGCTACATAGCTTATTTCTTTTATGTACACATATTTGTCCTTTAACAGGCACATTTTTAATGCTCAATATTGATAGTAAACAAGAATTAAAATACATTTCCCCCATTCTTTTTAAGGGAAGGTAATATTGCATTTTAAAAGCATGTAAAAGCCATAGGAGTCAAAGGTTTAAAAAAAAGTTGAGTATCCCTTTAAGACAACATCATGAAAAACCATACATAGTGAAAACCAGCAGAAGGAATATGTTTATTTCAATTAGGCAGAGATACCAAGAATTGCATGCATGACGAAATGCACTACAGACAGCACAGACAAAGTGATTCAAAAACAAAAGCATTTACATTGGCAATATGGCATCTATTTCAGCTGGCATGTGGGTAAAAGATAAGGGATAAACATCTTTAAAAATGAGATTCAGTCCATTCACATTTATGGAAGTAAATATCATATACCTACTTAAACCAATGCAGAAAAATCCTTGGCTGATCTTCAACCTGAACAACGTCAAACAATGATAAAACTAGCATGTCTTCCAGTGTAGGTCTAGGAGCATCAGTAAAGCTTCCTTAAATTAGGCTAAATCCCTAAAGCCTGAGGTGGCGAGGACTATTCCATGCAAGGTAAATTGCGCTGGCCACTGGTCTGTTGATGTTTGAATGTAGACTGCACAGGCCCAGATTCAAAACAGTGTGTTAAAGTTACAATTTCTGAGAAGAACTCTGCTGGGCTTTCCTGTTCCAAGGCAAGGTCTTTCAGCACAGGCTGCTTTGATCCGTGTGGATTTACTGTCCCTTTCCCAACCAAACCCAATACTGTAAACAAGACTCACATTATCAAGAAACAATCTGATATGAAAGTGCTGTCATTATTACAAAGGACAGCGTACCACCACTAGAATAATGTCACCAGGGTTTCCCAGGCCACTTTCCAAAGTGCAACTTACTGGCTTGGGGAAGATACCTGCCACTGTCGGAATATCGAGAACACCTTTTTTGATTTGTCACGAGGACCCTAAATGAAAGAAGAAGAAAAAAAAAAAGTGTTAGAGAGATGAAAAATTACTGTTAGCTTCAACAAATTAGTAATTTGGCGGACCTGAGATGGGCTGGCTCCTACTGGACTGAGGCTTCTTTTCATGGATAAGAATAGGGTGAGCGCTGCTTTCCAGCCTGGTTGAGGGAGTTCTGACTCACAGCCAACAAAAACAGAGCCATCTAGATTGCCCTCCTCTCTTCCCACACTCACCCATGGACACCAGTCTCGGTGCTGGGCTACTGGGTCAAACACATTTCTGTGCAGGGGCCCTTCCTATAACAGATAAAATAAAAGAGGCTTAGGCATTTACAATTTGAAAACGTGATGTTTAATTGAAGTTGTATGGTCATTAAAAACAAATATGCCATTAGGACATTGGGTTATGCAGATAAATAAAATGTAATCAATTACATTGTCCTATAATAATAATAATAATAACAGCAATTTATACATAATAATAGCCCTTACAGAGCCACTGGCAGATGAGAGACGCAGGCGTTTTGTCTTTCGCTGTGGACTAGAGGGCACATCCATGGCCAGGTTTTCTCCTTGACCCCTGCTGCGGGTCATTGGTCTTTTGCCCCTGGACAGGGGGCTTGGAAGCTCATCATGTGGGATAGGGGAGTCTCTGCTTCTGGTGCGAAGAACCAGTGGGGATGATGTAGTGTCCATCTACATGCACAAGACAGTGTTGACAATTTAGATGGTTGTGACTCACTGAAGAACATCGAAGTAATATAATGGTCATTCCCAGTTAAGTTTACAGTCTTAAAGTTTAACTCAAAAACTAATATCAAAATGCAAAAGACTCACCTGCTCAGAGCGTGTGGAGTCTTGACTACGTAGCTTCATGCGACATGGAGTGGGGGATTGGGATGGTGAGGTGGGCGTACCCTTTTCCCCACTTGTGCCTTGAGTTGGAGTCAAGGCAGTAGTAGATGTTGGAGACTGCGGAGGGTTTTCACCCTCTGAAACAGTCTCCATTTGATAGAAGTTCCACATCCCTACCTTTCTCATGCAGTATGAACAAGTGAGGGTGGGCAGATTCATAATGTGTAGTGACGGGCTAAATGGAAACAAGGCATAAAATGACCCAAATGTTCTGCAAGAAGTTTGCCATTGCTGAACCGTCAAAAGTCACTGATTGGATTTTTACCTGGCTGCCCAACCACAGAGGGCTATGATGCATGCTGCCACCTGTACAGGGAGTGGATCTGATGAGACTTTAGAGGGAGAACCACCTTGCTTCACTTGCTCATCTTCAATCAGCTGTAGGAGGACACTTATAACATCTTCAGTTAAGGTCTGAGGAAAAAGAACATTAAAAAATATGACTGCATAGAGGAATCATTCATGGACTTCCCTTTGAAAATAAAGAATAATACCATGGCTTTGAACTGATCTGGCTTCATAGCAGGCAGCTGCTGTTCTAGAAGGCAAGCACTCTTGAAACGTTCTACAAATGCACCGAGTAATATCGTAGGCTCATTAATAGGAACCATCCAGAAACGATCTGCAACACAAACAACATTATTGATTAGCAATGATTGATTTAGATGTCAAACAGACAGACGACTACAACTAGTGAGCCTCTCAAAATACCTGGACATGGAAAATCTGGCCAGGAACAAAATTTCTCATGTTGTGTTTGAAGCTGCTGTATCAACTCCGAAATCCGTCCTTCATCTAAAAAAAAAAAAGTGAAAATAAATATGTGAATGTGAGCAGATACAAAATATAGCTTAGCTCTATAATAAAGCAGAGCAAAACTTACATTTCTGGAAGTCCAAGGTTGCTTGGATTGATGCACAGAGAAAAGCCTGGCAACTAGAACACCTCAACATATCACAGTCTACATTGATCCAGCCATACCGTGCACATCTCAGCGGCGAGAGCACACGGGGCTTTCCGGCCCATTTCAGACAGTGCTTATATTAAGGACTTTTCTTTCTTTCTTTTGTTTTGCAAAGGCAATGAATGAAACCAAAGTTGTGATTTTTTTCCTTCATATTTACATATAAAGGACAGGACATTATTAATAAATTGCGGTCAATTCTGATTTCATGGTGACTAAGTCTATCAGGTTTTAAAGAAGGTTTCATTCAGATTAATAAAACAACTAGACATGCAATACAACATCATGAAATCAATTGATTAAAAATAAGTCCAAACAACTGAGTTGATTAGTCTAAAACAGTCATGCAACTTAATATGCAATACAAACTGGCTTTCTCAAAGCCAGCTTCAGGCACTGTCACTGATGGGTTCACAGCAACACTCAAAAGGATATGGAGTAGGATTCTACTCTGTTGAAAAATGCTTCTTTGTTTGCTGCCTCACAAGGAGCTTTCCCAAGACCATTTGGAGACACTGTTTTTGGATCCTGCTGCGAACTGAGACATGGAGAGAAAAGTGAATCAACCTTGTGCTGTATTTTCCTCACATAAGTAAAACCAAAGTGACTTACTCCATTACAGGGGAAACATTCATTTGGAACAAGGTGGTACACCAAGACCAGCTGTCATGCTTATAAAAAAACAACAACAGTTTGACCAGCTGGTACTGGTTTGTTGCTGGTCTAAGAAAAGCCTGCATCAGCAAATTACTAGTTAAAAACTAGCTACGGGTTGACAGGGACTCGGGTAACGTCGTTTGGCTCTAAGCTGGTGGTCTTTAGCTTGTTTGTTGATTTTGACAAGATGGTCAAGAAGATTGCATCAGTCAAAGTCAATTTGGTACAATCTACAATGTTCAAAAACACAGCTACCGGGGTTTTCAGTAAAAACTTAACTGTTATCCGATTGTAGAATTGGTCACCACCCCTGCCCTGCTTTCTTCCCGCACATTCTCACTTTTTTTGCAACTTCTCTCTCATTATAATAAAACTCTTACCAATTAAACACGTTGTCTTCCGAGGCTACGCCTTCGTTTAGAAGTTCTCGCACTTTCAGCGGAGACACGAGAGGAGATTTGCTTTGTTTTTCGCCGTTTTCTGGGCGATTTGCACGGCTGCCGAGCGCCGCCATGTTTGGTGTCTGTCTCTAAACACTCCCACTACAAGATATCAATTATCAACATTTTTACACAGTTCCGCCCCATCCATTACAAAAGTGTAGCGTGGTCACCATTTAAGAAGCTTTTTGTTATTTTGCTAAATTTCTTATTTTGATGACAGTCATTAAAATAAATAATATATATATATATATATATATATATATATATATATATATATATGAAGTAGGTTTATACGACAAACTGCAGCATTTTTGTATTATTGGATATTTTGGGTCTGCTTGAAGTATTTAATTCATATGTACCAACATTGTATAACTCAAAACACCCAGCATTTTAGTTTTCAAATTTGACGTTTATCGTTAAGACTTTTATCTTGAAATGCCTAAAAAAACGTCAAAATTTGGCTTTTTTTTGGTGGCCATCTTGAATTGGGTTTAATTCACCAGCGTTTCTGCCTTCACATTCATTGCAAAGGAGACCACGGTCAGGTCCATCTATTTAATTTAAGCGTCTCTTTCGGGGGAGAATGGGCTGAGTTATGCTCTACGATATACCTCTGTCTGTTGAAGGAAACCCCGTTGTCTGCGAGTGCGTGTAGGTGGATGATTTCAGCGTGATTTTTGGAGCGATGTCTGCCGCAGAAGGAGCACACAGCCCGGACAGACTCAATCAGTTTGAGCGGCTGTCTGGAAGGCCTCCGATAAGAGCCGCAGGTCAGTGAGGACTCAGTTAACCGCTTGAATAAGCACAAAACAACAATGTTTTTTTCCAGGAAAATTAATTTTCTATCTACTTTTTGTCATAATATAAAGCACAGTTAATTGTGTATATCACATCTCTCGCGCTGCTAGCCTCTAGTGTGTTAGCCGTATCGCTAATGGTTTTTTGTTTTGATCATAAACTTTTCAAGTTCGCATTTATTAATTATGACGCGTATCTCATATTTAACTTTGCAAAAGGCTGTGCATTGTAGTCGTCATGTGATGTTGGCTTTACTGTCAAAAAGTTAGCTTGGGAATTGAGTTTGACAGCTTAATTTGTATTAAGCTAACAGATGTCATACTAAGTTATAGAATATTTGACTGTGATATGAATATTTTTAATAATTTACATCTGCATTTAATGCTTTATTAACTGTTTGATCGTATTGTCAAGTGAAGTTTAAGCATTCCTCTGTTAAATGTTGATTTACAGACCTAGCTCTACTACTGTTAGAAAGTGAAAATAGTCCCTAGAAATTAAAATGTAGCATAATAAGCTATTCCTTGAACTCTATTTTATTGGTTTCCAGTTTTAATTCGTTTGTCTTGAATAAGCAAACTTGTTTGCAATCATGCTGTATTCTTACATAGTGAGCGACTGAATTAATGCAAGTTTTGGGGGAAATGTGGCATTAAAATATGTATTTATATTTTTAGTTTAAACGTAAAAGTTAAATTCTGTTTAAAAGTTGTAGACTAAATGGTTTTTAATGCACATCACTTGTATAAAGAATGAATGTTGAAAGGCTTATATTCATAATTACTCCATGTTTAGTGTTAAGTTTATAGTTTAGGGATGTAAGTTATTTCACTTGGCCGTTTGTTTGGACTGTTAATAGTGCCACAGATCAGCACATGTGTAAATACAACTCCATGGGTAAATAAAAGGCTGGCTATGTCTGGTTCTGCTCAGAGTCACGGTGTAAATACTTCGTTTCTTTTCTTTTTCTTTTTGTCTTTCAGCAGTAAGACATATGCTAATAATTTCAGGCAGCTGTGGTGCATTAAAACAGTACTCACAGTGTGACATTAGGACTTTAATGATATTCACACCACCCATCATATGCCTGCAGCTCTAGCCATCTATATCCTCATTCCTGTTTATATGAAAAGCAATTAAATGCCTTTTTATACTTGCTTAAAATCTGCACCAAACAGAATTGATGTATTCGCAACAGGCTTCTTGGGTAAGAAATAACGCAGTATGTTGTTCTTCTAAGATTGTCCTAATCATGTTTTGAAGCTGCTGAGTTTCATGCACAACATGTCATGCGTAATACACACTTCTCAGCTGGAGGCAGCCGGTTCACTGTAAATGTAGCCCTCAGATGATGATTTGCATATGGCAAACCTAAAAACCTCAAATCGAACCATGTGACTTGCTTTTCATTTGGTGCTGTAGTAATCGTCATGGCCTGCAGTTCGTCTTCAGTGGACATCTTCAGTTTGTATTTTGAAGGGGCATACGTTATGTGTTCTCACACCTGGGGAGACTTTTGACTTCCAACCACACAGAATCCAATAGAAACCATGTGGCAATGCTCTGTCAAACATTACCGGGGTGCATTGATCATTTTTATTGTAGTTTATTTGCTGTTGAACCTAAGCAAACCAGTTATCAGTGTGTTTTCAATTGTTACCAAACATTGAATCCAGTATCCAGACATATCAACACAGTACATTTAAACAAAGTTCCAGTGGGCATCATTTTTTCCACGTCTGGATAAGTCATAGAATTAAAAGTAGCAGTAGTAGTAATAAAAAACAAATGTAATGCTAGTCTCTAAATTAGTTTGACTATGAATTTCCTTTGTGCAATCATGAGAGCGCATGGAAATGAATTGGTAAGAAGGTGTGGGGAATCCTGATTAAAACCCCTAATTATCTTCTTTTTATTATTATTTTTGTTTTCATTTAAAAGTCTTTTACACTTACCAAGGCGGCATTTATTTAATCAAAAGTACAGTAACCGTAATATTGTGAAATCTTACAATAATACATATTCAAAAAAAAAATATATATATATATATATATATACATATATACATTCTATTTTATCCTGGGTATATGTTGTTCATCAAGGATTTTAATTCTGCTTTGCTTTGAGTATTAGTTCTGCTGAACTCTTGAGTATTTTGTGGTCCTGTTGAATGAGTCTCTTAATGTTTTTCATGGTTATTTATTGCACAGATTACTTAAACTGTGGGGCGTGTGGCAGTGAGGAGTTGTTGGGGGTTTTTTATCTAGGAAGTGACATACCACCTCACTTTTTTGTACATTAGCCTTTTTTATTTCCAAACCCATTTGTTGACCCCTTGAGTGATGGGCAGGGTGTTTGTCTGTTTATGTTTTTTTCTTTATTTTGCCATTGTCCTTTTGTTGTTGTTATTTTGTCTGTCTGACTGCGGTAATTGTGGTAACAGGCTCTAAGAAGAGAGTTTCCTGGGTACAAGCTCGAAGACTCCTCGGCCAGCCCTGCCCCAGTCTACGGATCCCTAACAGGTTTTTAAGAGAAGGTGGGTAATAGGCGATGTCTGCCTTTAACTGAACTTCAAAAAGAAAACCCACATGACAAATCTGGAAGCCTCCCCCATGCTGTCCCCACCCTCCCTCTCTTCAAAACTGCTCTTCTTCACTGTGGTGTAAAAAAAAAAAAAAGAAAGAAAGAAAAAAGACCACCGCTTTTTGCCAGGGCTCTTTCTGCTAAGCTTCATTGTGGGCAACGCTGGGGCAGGATGGCTTGGGTGTTTAAAAAAGAAACGGAAAAGGCCAAAGTGTTCGTCTGGTTGTAAGTGATGTGTGTTGATCCTTTTTATTTTTATTGATTTGTCAGTTTTTATTTTTTGACTTCCATCCCATCCCATCTTCCCTGCGATGCTCTCACTCAGGTGCAGCATCCAGGTTTCAAGGCAAATTCACTGGCAAGAAATTTGCAAGGGTGAGGCTTCGCATGCTGTGATCATAGGTTCAGTGGCCTTTAAACCGTGCAGATCCATTATTTTCAGAGTTTCATAAAGTTGGGTTTCAACTTATCAGTTTTGTACACTGGGGAAACAAACAGATGTGTGGAAATTGTACGTCGTTTGCGCTTTTGGTTAATTGTAATTTTTTTTAATGTATTACACAATTGAAACGAAACTTTTAATAAATTATACTTTCCATTTTTATTATATATTTAACAATAATGCTAATAAAAATAAATGATTTATTGTGTTTATATATATATTAGGGCTGTGAAACGATTAATCGCGATTAATCACATTCAAAATAAAAGTTTGTGCGTAGTGTGTATAATTACTTTGTTTATATAAATACACACACATGCATGTATATATTTGAGAAGAAATGTTCTCAAAATATCAAATATTTATATATAATATTAATTATGTATATATAATATATACATGCAAATATTTCTTAAATATATACATGCATGTGTGTGTATTTATATATTCAAAATAATTATACACACTACACATGTATATTGCGTAAACACAAACTTTTATTTTGGATGCATGCGATTAATCACGATTAATCGTTTCACAGCCCTACTATATGTATATGTGTGTGTGTATATTTATATATATAAATAGTAGTTACAAATAATATTTAGTTTATTAATAAATGAATAAAAGCTTATTTATAAATGGAGTTGTTTCAGCCAAGATCCTGTTTGTGTATCTGAATCTGCATTGTGTTTGGGGGAGTGGCCATAGCTTCTTTAATATGAATATCTAATTAAGCTGGACAAGGAATGAAGGCTTATGAGGGTTTGAACTAGTGGTTGTTGTTAATTTGGTGTCACGGGTGTGTTTTGTTCACTGTTACCCATGCTGTTTTGTGTTCAGTTGTTGCCATTGTGTAGATGTTTCTTCTAAACAAGTCAAACTTCAGATATTTATTTGTTTTGTACATATAGATTTGACTCATTTTCAAGCTTTATCTAAGTAAAAGAAGTCCAGTTAAGGCTAATCCATTCACTTCTACATCTGTAATATTTGGATCTCATTATGACATTCTAGTGGATTAAATATGAAAAAAATCTGGTTGGAGATTATAAAGCTCACTCAGTTTTAATTTGTATATCCAAGGATGGATTTCAAGTAGGATGAGCGTGGTTGGATTTGTTCACTTTACTCATAACAGAGCTGATCTAACTCAAGAAAAGTGTATTCATCGAATATATGTAAATCTGAAATGTGGATGCATTTTATTACCCAACTGCATAGCATACCATAAAGTTAGTAAAATCAGAATGGGTTATGTTTCTATGTTATGGTTGAAACTAAACTAATAATGCAGTTTGCATTTTGTTTCACAGGTGACTTTGTGAAGAACCAACTCAAATGTGTCTTTAATCTACTTCCTGCTTTCCAGAACTGTCCTGTGGAGGCTTGAATATTGATGGTGTGATTACTCAGAATAATTTGTTGCCTTAGGGCTGGTTCACACAACGTGTCTCGTAGAATGCTGTCTCATGTGCGGGACGCTGCAAAACTCAATGGTTAAAGACACCTGCGTTCACTTACCAATAGAAGCGTAGCACAGTGGAAGTTCAATCCCAGCAACAAACACTGGATCTCATTTTCCCTCCATCCTTAATCTTTCCTCCTACCTTTCAAGACAGATGCTAACTCACTGAGGACCTCCCAGCTGTTTGTCGTCTCATCACCAATAGGCTGCTGTCTGTCTCTGTAGGTCACAGAGTCCCACCGGCCCGGAGTGGCCATCGCTGTGTAGCAGACAACACCAACCTCTATGTGTTCGGAGGGTACAACCCTGACTCCGATGAATCGGGCGGCTCAGAGAACGAAGACTACCCGTTGTTCAGGGAGCTGTGGAGGTTCCACTTCGCCACAGGGACATGGCAACAGATCCGCACGGAGGGTTTCATGCCCACCGAACTGGCTTCGATGTCAGGTAATGTGAAAATGATATTTTAAATGGTTTTAATTTTATTTTGAGGATGTTCCAAAAAGCCACCGGTATGTCAGGTATTTTATCTTTCCTCTCTTGACCATCTTGTTTGTACGTCACACAGCTGTTTTACACGGTAATAACCTGCTTGTGTTCGGCGGGACCGGAATCCCGTTCGGGGAAAACAACGGAAATGATGTTCACGTCTGCAATGTAAAATACAAACGTTGGTCCCTCCTCAACTGCAGGGGAAAGAAACCCAATCGAATATATGGACAGGTACAACAACCCAAACAAATTCATATGATTTAACCCATTAATGAAAAGAGGTACATGGTATCCAATGTTTTGTAGTAAACATACTGTATTATGTAGATTTATTGAGTGATGGTGTGATCCCTTTTTTGTGTTTTACAGGCGATGGCCATAATCAACGGCTTCCTGTATGTATTTGGAGGTACGACAGGCTACATCTATAGCACAGATCTTCACAGACTGGATCTAACAACACGTGAGTGGATTCACCTGAAACCCAACAACCCTGCAGACGACCTGCCTGAGGAGCGGTGAGTGGACTCTTTGGATTGTGGTTTGGTTGTAACCGTGAATTGAAAGTGTATTCAATCCAAACTCTGGCTATTCAAAATGTTCATTAAGTAATCGTAAAATAAATCTAATGTTAAAATGTCAGTCTTTGAGCAAATATGACAAACTTCCTTCTAAATTTGTTTCTTGTAGATATAGGCATGAGATAGCTCATGATGGACAGAGGATATATATTCTAGGAGGTGGAACTTCCTGGACTTCCTACCCATTAGACAAGGTACAAATGCTTCCATAAATCACCAAATTAGGTAGTGTTCATTTCTTAAATGTTACATGATTAATGTTTACTGGAAATAATTGGCCTTGCTTATGAAATATAAACACGTCCCTGTGCAAATGGTTCTTAAATTGTCCAATCAAACTGCTTATGACAATTTACATTAATGAATAAATTTTTTTTTTACCCCAAATTTTATTGTAAGTGACAATTGTCCCAAATTTTTGTATCAGATACACGCATATAACCTTGAAACAAATTCCTGGGAGGAAATCACAACTAAGCCTCATGAACGAATAGGTAAGTAATGAAATTCTCATCTTAATCTTCTTTGACATCTGACAATGAAAAGCACACTGTCAATGTTTTGCATCACATGCTTATTCAGTCCTTTTTTATTATTATTCAGGATACCCAGCCCCACGGAGATGTCATAGTTGTGTGCAGATTAAAAATGGTTAGTTAGTTAAACTGTTGAATTGAAGATTTTACTCTTTTACTGTTCCTTTTTTCGTTCAGCGTTTGTTGTTGTTTATTGCAGATGTATTTATATGTGGAGGTTACAATGGTGAAGTAATACTGGACGACCTGTGGAAAATCAACCTGCAGACGTTCCAGTGGAATAAGCTACCTGCGGTGATGCCTGAACCTGCATATTTCCACTGTGCTGCTGTTACCCCGGTCAGTTTATTTTATTAATTTAGTTTTATGTATTTTATGTCATCCTCAATCATTCATATTTATTCTGTTCATTTTTTTCCCCTTCATAGGCCGGTTGCATGTACATCCACGGTGGTGTGGTGAACATCCATGAGAATAAGCGGACTGGTTCCTTGTTTAAGATCTGGCTGGTAGTGCCCAGTCTGCTGGAGCTGTGCTGGGATCGTCTGCTCAAATCTTTTCCGCACCTGGCCCAACTTACCCCCATACAGCTGCTAAACTTGGGCCTCACCCAGGAACTCATTGAACGCTTAAAATAAAGAAGAGGGGGCTGTGAGCGCGAGAGACTATATGTATACGTACTATGTGTGTACTTTTTTTTTTTTTGAAGCTGATCATGGGCAGGACAACGGCACTTGACGCCAGCGCGTGGACTCAAGCTCCAGGATCGACTAAGGAACCCCATCCCAACGCAGTCCGCCTTAAAACCAAAAACTGTAGGATGCCTTTTTTTTGTTTTGCGTATGCACCTTTTAATGATTTGAAAATCAATACAAAACATAAATATCCTTTAAAGAGAGGGTTTATTTCCTCAAACACTATATGGGTCAGTGACCTGAAAGTTTTTTTTTTTGTTTTCTTGAGATTGTACTATTGTTATTTATTGGCCTTCAGAAGTGACATGAGGGACGTTGAGTTGTTTTTACTGATGTATCTTAATTCCTTTCCTGTCAAAGAATTATTTAAGTTTTATAAATCACATCACAGCATGAATATTTAATCAGCAGTGATGTAATTGGGGTTTAATTAGTTTCCAGGCAACTGTTCAGATTACTCCTGAACATATACCAACTTATGCAGAACTATTGATGCCTGGGATTGTGATTTAAGGTTTTACTGCAATGAAAATGGTGCAAACAGTGTTGAAATGTTGAATGTTTTAACAAAATGGCAATTTTTTGGTTTTCACTGCGAATGTTGATTTTTAGGTTGGACGCTGTTGCTCAGATCTGCAGTTACATCTGCACTTAAGGCACAAACACCAGACAAAGTAATTTGTCTTTTCTTTTTTTTTCTTCAAACTAAGCTGTACAGCCATAGCAGAGCTGTTCCCATGTTTCACTCAATTTTGTAAACCAGTCATTACATCACTGTGAATAAGGTGCTCCTTAATTTACTTTTAAAGCTTTTACTGAAATAAAATGTTTGTTTTTCCTTAAACGAATCATCACTCATCGAAGTTTTTAAATCAACACATTTCAGCCAACTGCACACTCATTTAATTGATCTAGTGCCTTTCTGAGCAAGACCTGATAATGTGCTAAATTTAACAATGAGACAAAGCCTTGCTAAAAGCACTTTATTATTATTTCATTTAAATTTTACGCTGACCTAATTTTATAAGAGGTGCATTACAAACATTGACCATTTTCATCAAGCTTTCTAGCACTTGACACATTTACAATAAATTAAAATTTTAGACTATTTTGTGTTTGGTCAGACTCAGCATAATGATATTTTTGGCCTTGTGTATATCTGTACCGTCAAATAAATAAAAAAACTGATAACCTTCCTATCATTTAGCAATAATGTAGCGGAGCATCTCTTTACTATGCGGACCCATTTAAACTATCAAGCTCTGAATTCAAAAACAGTCAAAATGCCAAATACAGTATCTTGAATTCAAAGTTCATGCATTTCATTTTAACATGTTATGGTTTGTGGCCATGTAACTACATAGGCACCAGCAATTGATGTAGTTGAGTAAATTGTTAAATTTCTAATTGCTATTTTAACACCCTCTGTATCTGTAGCTTCATTTTGGAATTTGGTCACATACATGCTTATAATGTGTGCCTAGCCACCACTTTCTGCCATTTTATTTCTTCATGACTGGATTCCTGTTTGCATGGGTCAGGATTTTAGGGTGCTTTGTCATTCAGGCAATGTGCAGACTTTGACAACTCCATATTTATGACTTTCATAGAAATGATTTCGGCAACACAGCGGAATATCTCACTCAGTCTGCATGGCGTGATGGGAGTCCCTACATTTCTTTGCATTTTTTGAGACAAGGGGTCTCGCTGGATTTCAATTCCTCAGTTGTGCAGCAAATGTTCATGGTACTTACTGGTTACCTGTAACTTGTGTACCAGTTTTGTGTTTTATTGTTGAAAAATGAATAAACTTGTTCAAACTGCTGGCTGTGTTGTATCTCTGTTGTTACATCTAATCAAAAATGACAAGAAAAGTTAATGAAAGGAATACAAAATTGATTTATTCATTTTGATTGATTGATAAATCTATTCTTTTTTTGTGATTGTAAAATATTTTATGCATATTTTAAGTAAACATGATGAAATTAATTTACATGATTGAATTGCATACTTCACAAGATGGGGGAAAAAAATCATCAAAATAAAGAATTTTTACAGTGTATATGGAACAAACATACACAAAACCACTATACAAACATGCCAACAATAAAAATATAATAAAGGGAAATAATAATTGTTCAACATCCAAGAGGAGCAGGTGCAAAAAAGTACAATGCCAGGAGAATGAGGTACACAACCACCAGAGCCGTTCCTGTTCAGGAACACAATAACCATGGTCAGGAATTAGTATTCACTTTTTTTTTATGTAAAAATGAAACCTGAACTAATATCTATAACTAAACCAAACCATAGAAAAGACATAACAATAATACTAATTCATTGTCTCAAATTGTGCACAACAAAAAGGCACAATAAAAAAAAAAATTGTCTAAGTTAGTTCATACGTTTTACATAACATTCATATTATATATTATTATTATTTTTGTAACACTTTACAATAAGTTCTCATTTGTTAACATTAATTAACAACGAGCAATATATTATTGGGGCTTTAATTAACTTTTATTAGTGTTAATTTATAAAATACAATTGTTGATATCTTTTTCCATGTTAGTTCACAGTGTATTAACTAATGTAAACAGATGCTTTAGGTTTTAAAAATGTATTAGTAAGAATGTAGTAAATGTAGTGTAGAAATGAACATTAATTAGGAGTAGAGCTGTTTCCACTAACCTATTTTTTTATGTGCATTTTGGGATATCGCGTAAACAAATACTGGATGAAAATGGCAAAATGGGCATAAATTCTAAAAGTGCACATAAACTCAGTAAAGATTAAAAAACTGCCCCAACAGTGGATGTGATTGGATAACTGGACTAACCAGCTGAAAAATGTAATTGCACAGAATCTCAAATGTTGGTTTGATCATTCTGAAATGCCTTAGCCAAAGCCTGTCATCAAAATGATTTGGATTAATTCCCTCTAAGCATCTCACACGATTGCATTTTCAAATAGCAGTCATCTGAACGCCAACCAACATTTCATCTGTGCATTTTTCTTCCATTTTTAGTACAGATATTTTGGGCCAATTTCCCATGAAGTGACCATTTTGTTTTCCTGAACATGGGATGATGCTTTATTCGTAAATAATTAATTTTTACAACTTTGGACAGAAACATAAATCATGTAGAAGCATTCTTAGTTCATGCTAACAAATGTTAAATGAATCATTATTGTAAAGAGTCACCATTATATTTATATTATAGCAAAATTCTTTCATCGGCCTTTCAAACCAGTATGACTTACTTTCTTCAGTAGAATACAAAGGAGTTATTGCCGAAGAGCGATCATTGCTGTTAAGCAGACTGTTCCTTACATATAGCTATTGATGATTTGATTTTTATTTTGGAAAAACTGCTCCTTTAATCACTAATACTAATAATGCTTACCCTGAAAGTAGTCCGACTTTCCATCCATAAATATGTAGTTGACCAGGATAACGCTAAAGATGCTTGCCCAGAGGTGTAAATCACTGAATATGAGAACGAATCCAACGTCCTTGGGAGAAACAGAAAGAACTTGTGTTTAAGTTGTATTTAAGTTAAGTTAAATTGCAACTTAAGTTATTTTTGAGTGTGACTTACATAAAAAGCATTGAACAAGATCAGTAGCGGTATCTGCAGCATGCACACCTGAACTGCAATGCAGCTCCCCACTTCCAGGCTAGATGATAAACATGACCGCATTAAAGGCACATCCAGATCATATATTGAAAACAGTTAAGTGCACATTTTTGTAAGTGTTGTAACCTGAGACTGATGTTATTTTGAAGAGCAAACTGGATCCCGTTGACTATCTCAGGAAGCTCAGGAACCATGGCCAAAACAGTAACTCCAATAAAATACTGCAACAACATATTTGTGATGTAAATTAATATTTTATATATTTTTTTATTTTTATTCCAATATTTTTTTAAATTTATTTATTAATATTATTACTATTAAAAAAAATACTGGATAAAAATAAAATTATATACATGTCTGTACCTGTGAGACACTGGAGTTGGAGATGATCGGTTTGATGTTTTCAGTGCTAAGATCAGCACAAGCTGCCATCATTACCGTAGCCAAAATGAGGACCACTAGAGCTCTCGTTCTAGACCAGTGAACCACTGCACTGTGGTCGTTAATAACTAGCACACACACACAGAGAGAGAGAGAGAGAGATTAGGACATTAAATAATAAAAGCACACACACCTACAACTGCATAACTCAAATGCAAAAATCACAAATACACACCATGACAGTGTCCGTCACTGACGTGGATATCATAAATATGCGAATGAGTCTTAAGGGTGAAGATCAGACCAATGAGATACGCAGCAGGTAACAGGACAGAGATGGTGTACACTAAAGGCCTAAAAGCAAAGACGGAAACATTTAAATGTCTTTATGCTATAATAAGAATAATGACTGTTTACTATTGTCTTTTTAGAGCTGCTTTACATCACAATTGAATTCTGTTTGCATCACTAATTATTATTCTAATTATCTATTTTTCACTGTAAAGCTGCTCTGAAACAATCAGTATTGTATAAAGCCCTATATAAATTAAGATGATGACGACTGTAAAAACAAGTGCGATTGGATACTCACTCGATATGACTCAAAAAAAGTGGCCGGTTGTTTTCACTCTGTAGGAAAATATCATAGTCATATACTTAAATACTGTGTTCTGCATCATATACATCCACAAAATGTGTCTAAATGTCCTGAATCATATTAAGTAAACAACATACCAGGTCATAGTGGCAATTGTTACATATGAAGGGGTTTGTGGTGTTACCAGCTGAATTGTTACAGCCCTCACATATAAATCTTCCATAAGCTTTTGAAAACAACGTGGGGGCGAAAACACCTGTGGTCAGAAGTAAAAGATCAAAAACAATTCATATTACCTACAAACAGTGATTTTTAGGTGGTGCTTTCACCTCCTACTGATATGAAGAGCAGGGCTGAGCTGACCCCTGCCGACCTGCTGTTGAACCGCTGCTCTCTGTGCTTGCAGCCCCCGATGATCATACAAATCCCCTGAAACGCACTCACACAGAATGTAGCTGTTAGGGGAATTTTATAATGTACAACTTGCATGCGTGGCTGGTATCAGAGCAGAAGGGCTTGTGTGAGAAAGCAGCATCACAGAAACACACAAATAAAAAAAAAGCACACTCGCTCTCACAGGTATGAAGAGGATGCAGCCCAGCAGGGTGCCGGTGAGAGCAGATTTGACGATCTCCGCATAGCACTTGTTTCCTGCGCGGTGACCCTGCAGCAAAGCTGTGATGTAGAAGGCCATCTCCGTAATCGAGCCGAACGTGGCGTTTACTACCGCCCCCACTGCAAAGTTACTCTGTGCGGAAATACTACAGAGAAAACAATGGGACTTTACATGAAAAAGAAGAATAAACAATAGAATACAAATATAAACTTGAATAGGTACTTATAAACAGATTTAAGATTTAAATGTTACCTTGCTATCCCCATTCCAATGTAGTAAGACAATGGGATAATGGAGCTCACTGCTGTGGCAAACTTCACCTCTGAGCTCACAAAATAATTGTCTCTGTCCACATATCCGATCACCAGAGTGATGATAACCAGCGGCAAAAGGTCTGAATATCAGTTTTAAAGATTTTAACGTCCATAAATACTGCATTTCATAAAGAAATCAACTTTATTTTATGACAATAAAGCTAAAGTAGTTTAGTTCAATATTTATAACATTTATTGAGTTATATTTATATACTTTGTTATATTTTAGTATAGTATTAGATCTAATTATTTTCATCATTACCTCCCTTTTGTCTCAGTTGGGTGTTTTTTCCACCCCGTTTGTCTCATAAAACAATTATGACCAAAAAAGGTAGCCATGAAGGATACTGACAGCAAACACATTGATCCCATCCACGGTGTACTTGTAGTAGTACCAGTTAAAGGCACGGTAACAGCAAAGCAGAACTCTGGTCTCACAACCTTGTGGCTAAAGAATAGTACATACAACAACTATTAGTAAAACAGTTAGTAAACTTATGTAAACAGTAGAACAGTACTCACCTTTTTCACAGTCCGAACTTTGACCTCTTCCGGTGGCATGAGCAGGATGATGCTCAAGGTCCTGCCATTCATCTTTGACACAGGGATGGTGAAAACCATCATCCAGGACAGGAAGATGGCCAGGCAGTGAACCACAGCCAGCAGGGGATATCCCAACATCAGCCAAACATACGTACTCAACCGACACTAGGAAGAAAACATTGAGGTAACTCAATTCATTTATTGAATTCTTATCTTTTTAGTTGTACCTTTAGTTTATAGTAGTCCTCCTCATGGGTTTCAAACTAACAACCCTAAACTTAACCAACGATGCACTAAACCGCAAGCATGATTTACAGTATAACAATGGCCTATCAGCTAGACCCTGTTTAAACCTGGTTTTAAGATAAGTTTTGGTCGATCGGACCGATTTAAGGCTCTTTTGTCCACTTTCAACCACTTCTGTCCTGATTTCTTCGAGGGGTGGGAAATTGTATAGGCTTTTTCAGAACTCTCAATCTAGTGGACAACATAAGTTCACGTAATGTACATAAATCCAGACGATTTTGTCTTTAGAAATCTCTTACTATGTAGTGACCTTTAATTTGGAGCAAGGAAGTGACTACTGCGTCAATACAGCGGTATTACTTTGCTCACAGCTGATTTCAGTTTGAGATCTCTTGCCCAAGAGCAAGTTACAAGGCCAAGCCACTTTCATGGTGCCTAAAACTAAACCTTATCCACCTAAACCAGCCTCAGGTAAACTGAGC